CTCCTACCTCAGCCTCCTGATTAGCTGGGACTATAGGCATGTCCCACTGTGCCTGGCTACAATCCAGATTTTTCAAGCTAGAATGTCTCCACAGATTTTGTGGGCTACCAAACCACAAACCAATTTGTTTGTTTATATCTGGATAAGTTCATATGGTGACCTATGTTGGATCTTGATTTTATCAGCATTCTTTCCAGACACCAAAATGCTAAAAGTAGTTCAGATTCTGCCCTGTGACTGCCCCAAAAAGCACCTTACTAGTGCTGAACTGTCTTCCCAGCCTCAGCTTGTGTCCATTGTCATTCCCTCTTCTGGTAGAACCCAAAGTTTTCTTGCTGCCTTGGTTTTTCATCTCTCCATTTGGTGGCAACTTCAATTCCAAAAATAAAACCTGCAAGAAATTAATCCTCCTTTACTCAAGCATCAAAATTTCAAGTACTATCATTAAGAAAATACTTTTCAAAGTTATTTTAGAAAACAATCTCTACAGTTTAACATGGGTTAGAAGAATGTTTCTTTGGGCAATTTGTAATTATCACATTTAAAAAATGATGGCAATGAAAATTTATATGTCAGGTAGGCTATCCATATCCTAATTTAGGCACTATCAGATTAATACTAACACAAGGCTTTTAAACAGTCAGGAACACAGGCATGTATACTCTGTGCTGAGCAACTAGCAAATAAGCTATTAACATTGAGACTGGAAGTTGCTCTGGGAATTGTGAGCTCTCCTAAATGTGGCTACTCAATAATTTAAATTCCATAGAAGGTTAACATGGAAGCCTACATGGGTATTGCATGGTCACGAAATCAGACAACACACAAAGGAAGGGGTTTGAAAAGCCATCCAGTCCCACTACCACAATGCTGGACCCCAAGAGTCCCTAGGTACAAAACATTAGGAGAAGATGGGCAATCCAATGTGGTAATACATGAAGGCTAGAGAGTGGCCAGTAAGCTCTCATTGAAGAAATCAGGCCTACACAGGGCAGGTATCCAGGCTCTGGGGCAGAGAAAAGATTCCATGTAACCTACCACTCACTAGCTCAAATTAGAGGAGTTCAAACTCAGGCAATTTAGAACCTTATCTACTATACCTACTCATTCACTTATATACCTTGAGTGGGTTTTAATGAACATTAGATTATTTTCCCAGTAGTAATTCTAAAAATTGAAACATTTGCATAAGTACAAGAATTTTTTCCACAAGTTGGGCCAAGGGAAGAGGGGAAGATAATGCCTATACTTCCACAGAACAGTAGTAATGACAAAATAACAATCTGGTTCTAGTTTAAAATAGTGTAAATAACTGGAGTCTTGAGACTGAAAGGTACGGAGGCTTACAATGCATGTTAGTAACTATTTAGCCCAAGAATTATGTTATATAGAATGAACATATACAGGCATAGGGAGTATGGTTGCCACATTTAGCAAATAAAATTATAGGATGAACAGTTAAATTTGAACTGCATGGAGCATACCTATACTAAAATGTTATCCATCGTTTATGTGGCATTCGAAAAAAATTTCATTGACAAATCATAGTTGTATGCATTTATGGAATGCAATGTGATATTTTGATATATGCAATGTGGCATGATTAAATTAAGCCAATTCACATATCTATTGTCTTACTTACCTATCATTTTTAATGATGAAATATTTGAAATTTACTCTATTAGTTATTTTGAAATATATATTAAATAATACATCATTATTGATTACAGTTACTGTTACGCGATAAACCTCAGAATGTATTCCTCCTATCTGAAGCTTTGTACCCTTTGATTAGTAACTCCCCGTCTCCCTCCCTCTCTACCCCCCGACTCTGATAACTATCATTCCACACTCTCTACTTCTACAAGTTCTACTTTATTAGATTCCACACGTAAGTGAGATCATGCAGTATTTGTCTTTCTATGCCTGGCTTATTTCGCTCAGCATAATGTCCTCCAGTTGCATCCAT